AAGCGACATCACGGTAAAGCGATTTTTTCCTACTGATTCTGTTTTTTTTTTCACATACATATCAAGTTTATCACCTCATGAACATACATAGAAAGATATTAAATGATAATTATCAAAAAGGAAATTCTTATCTGATATGATAAAGCAAATGAACAAAACACCGTCGCCTGTAAACAAACATGGCTTCCCGCCTGAATCGGTTGGTGACTAATGTTACTTATTTCGTAATTCTGAATTGACTTAGAATTATCAAATAACATTTGACACACCCAAAACAAAATCCGGTGCTTCGCTGTCTTTTCTGTCGGCCTTCATGTGTTCGTGTTTACAAAATGGACCGCCTCGTTTTCAAAACTATCGCGTGACGTTGTCAGTGCTAACTTTAAGAGGGGTTTCCCGAGCCAAAGAAGTGGTCAAGCTGGACATTGGAAATCGACTGTGAATATCGGGGTAGCAAAAAGTCGTAACTGGAAGTGTCTAAAACACGTGCAATCAATAACAAAATAAATGTTTAATTGATGTCCGTTTAAAAGTCCACTTCCTGTCATTGAACTGAAAATTTATCTATACTTGTGAATTGTAGTTGTACGGGAAAACGAAGGTTAAGTTCATATTTTGTTCCAGTCAACTAACTTTCCCTAGTTATGGCCTTAGAACTGAGAAGATGTCAAAGCACTCTCTGTTTTCGCAAATGTTCTCAGATATTGAAACTCGGTGCTGAATGGAGATGTTGAATAAAAAGATGAAGTTGTATCGTTTGCAACTGGTCAGCTATTTAGAACTGTGGTGTTCAACCATGTTCACCATTTAACCGACACAGTCGTAAAGCTTTGTGCGCATCTGCTAAAACGCCAATAACTTATTGAAGGTGGAAAATTCATATGGCACACGGACAGCTCTAGTCTCTCCTGTCTCTGTATAATGTAAGATTACCTTGTCCTAAATGAAATATCCATGTAGGATAACTCTTATCGTTATGACAGTGCCGTTTGGGGAAACGAATCCATCACTGTGTAGGTGTTTTGAATGTTGATATGTTACCCCCACCCGAACTAGCATTGTTCTCAGCTCTAGAGAGAATTTGAACGAATTCACAACCCACAGTCCTTATATATTATATGTTCACAGTGACAATGGTTCCATGTCCCGAGAAGCGAAAACTGAAGATTTATATATATATATATGTTTTGTTTTGGTGACCATATATCTTAGTTACAGAAACATTACCTTGAAATGGAAAGGTATCTTTCCAAAGAGTGATTGATAAACATGTACTGACCATGACATGACCTAATGAATTCGGATACATGTGTATATATGTAGAAATTGTTAGGTAGACATTTCTCTGTCCAATCGAAACGTCCTCTTGTCTCTGATGGGCACCCCAATAGCTATGCCGAAATCGAAAATGCTATGTTTGTGGCGTATACAGTACCCATGGCCGTGTCCACATAGATCATCATTTAATGGTGATTTGTCTCGTACATCGTGGAAATTCCACATGAAATAAGGTGTTCTTTTTCTTCAACGAGAACCGACATCTTAGGTGTACAACGTAGCCGGGCTCGGCCCCGTCTGGAAAATAGTCCAGGATTTGATAAATAATTTTTACTCAAGAACGCAAAATCAAACAATTTTCTTATTTTCTTTAAAACTCCATTTCATTTTCAATGTTTTGTTTCTGATTGTCGGGTTAAAACCGGGGAAAACCCTCATCGCTAAAATACATGTATATTTGAATCGTGGATTGAGAAGTCAAGCCCCAGGGGTCAATATCTCAGTGGAGCATTGGTTCTGAAATAATTCGCCACTTTCCTGTAGATATATTTATCACATGACATGTGTCGTCGCTGAAGCAGAAGACAGGTACTCTTCCTGAACACCTGGTCTGATGTTCCTTTTAATTTTCAGGAGTCTCCGTAAATAACCTAGGCAATTGAGATTGTGTTTATTCGACCAACTGGCCGACGTTGGGTATTCGGTAGCTGTCCTTCTTGGTAAGACGTTCCTCAACACAATGTAATTGATCTTGTCTTACATGTCAACTGTACTTTTCTTCGCCGTTATTTCTGGGTATTCCATAGCGTTACAACATTCATGATGTACTTTTTTTTCCAAATTGGAAACTCAGATTGCAACTATTTTATTCGCCTGATGCTATCGGTTAATGTGCATGCAACTTACCAGCGATGTTACGTTCCCAGGAACTTATCAATTTATAAAACGTGTTAGGAGAGGGGAATAAACGTGTTAGGATAAAGACATAAATGTGTTAGGATAGAGGAATAAACGTGTTAGGATAGAGGAATAAACGTGTTAGGATAGAGGAATAAACGTGTTAGGATAGAGGAATAAACGTGTTAGGATAAAGACATAAACGTGTTAGGATAGAGGAATAAACGTGTTAGGATAGAGGAATAAACGTGTTAGGATAAAGACATAAACGTGTTAGGATAGAGGAATAAACGTGTTAGGATAGAGGAATAAACGTGTTAGGATAAAGACATAAACGTGTTAGGATAGAGGAATAAACGTGTTAGGATAGAGGAATAAACGTGTTAGGATATAAACATAAACGTGTTAGGATAGAGGAATAAACGTGTTAGGATATAAACATAAACGTGTTAGGATATAGACATAAACATGTTAGGAAATAGACATCAATGTGTTGGGATATAGACATCAATGTGTTAGGATATAGACATAGATGTGTTAAGATATAGACATAAACATGTTAGGATATAGACATAAACATATTAGGATATAGACATAAATGGGTTTCCTTGGCAGTCTCATACATTGTAGGTCTCAACAATTTGAAGATATGTAGCGTGACTGACGAGACAGGTTAAACATGATCACTTTTGTGTTGAAAGCTGTTATGCGAAGATCTATTAGAACATGGGACGACCGCCAAGAAAATTAACTGATTAAAAGATGATATATATATGAACACTGGGAAACGTTCATTTTAGTTCATGATCGGTAATTATAACTATCGTGTCTTTATCCAACTCGTTCAGTAGAACATCGCAGTATTGTGAATTTTGAGTGTATCGTAAGGTAATTTTCTAGTACCACAATAAATACCCTACTATACATGTTACCGCGTGTACAATAATGAATTTTAGTCAGGTTTCGATATTCGCAGTTGTTTTCTTGTCACAAAACTACAGTATTTATCATTGCCCGTCTCAGCTATTACGGAAAGAAGCAGGAAGTACAGGTATTCGTAAAAGATTTCAGGGTGACTTATCTTATGTACGCGTTTAATCCAGTTTATCTACCTAGCACATCCCATTTCGTTAATTCTTTGACTGGATAAATAATTGGGCAATTACGGTTAGAGGAAAGAGTACATCGAATGATTGGTGTACGTTGAATCACGTTTTGTCATGCAATCCACGTTACTGAATCAGTGATGTAAAAATATTCAACGTGAAATTACTTTGTTACTGTAGTATATCACTACTTCAAAACCTTTATAAAACGTGTTTCATTAACAGGACATATATAAACAATTTAAGATTATATTCAATTTCTGTTCAGTTAGCCCGGGTCGATATTTTAAAAAACGCCCGGATTGAAGCGCGCAAGCGGTCTTATTGAAGGAGGAAACTGGAGTACCCGCGGAAAACCGGCGTGGTCGTGCAGATGACCGCCATACCTTCTCACGTCCGTTCGGGCCCTCGGACCACGAAAGTCGAAGTGGAAGGCGACAGCGTTACCCTTGCTCCACCCTATCACTTTGATATTTAGGCGGTCATACTTATGATATCAGTCATCGACGTGTCTGTGTAAATGTATCGTGAGCAGGAATTAATACTAATTCATAAGTTTGTTACAGCATACTTGTTTTTATCTCAATAAAAACTCCTTATTAACGAAAGTTATCAATGCAGAAAAAATATGGAATACAAAACACATTTTGTACGCGAAGAGATATTACGTTCAGATACAAGGGATGCTATTTAACAGACTGTTTTTCTCACCTCCAGTGGCATAGAAGTGTACAAAGCTGACAATGTTATTTAACATCACTTTCATCATTGATTGAAGGGAGACAACTCTAATACGTTCATTTTCAGCTAATCCGTTCCAATGTTGCTTTGTGTGGATCACATATACAATTTTATTTATTTTGTACTGTTAGAAAGGTTAATTTGATTACTGACATTGCTACAGGATCCAAGAAAGAAATCTGATTTCTTCCAATTAAGAATAGATACTGTCCCTTATATATGCTTTATTAACGAAATGTTTCTTTGAATAGAAAAAAATTCCGTAGACATACAAAAATGTATGTATTCAGTGCCGCTTGTTTGGGATTATGTAAAGGAGCAGTAGTGTAAAAGCTGATTCCCAGTAACTAAACAGGGTACATATTGCATATATCATACACAAGTCTCGATGCACAAAATAGTTTGCTCAAGAGTAGTTCTGTTTGGTTGAATAAGGATAAATTTCCCTTGGTTTTCTTCTACTTGTACAAATCTCTAGAGTTAATGTCCGGAAGTCAGAAGCGGTCGTATTTCTAGGGCGGGTTCTAACTTTTTTCTGAAACGCTTGCACTTGGTAGCAATACTTAAAATTAAAACCATGAAACTTTATAAAATCTGACAAATCCAAAGAGTATTAACATTTACGTGTCGCATTAAAATTGAAGGAAAATCGTTTAGGATTTCATTAACTCTTTTTCAACTTGACTTTTGGAATGAAAGAAACTTCAGAGAAAAAAATAATTGATAAATGACTATGACTTTGGAACAGGTTATTCATGTTTCGGAGAACTCAACAAGAAACTTTTCTCAAGTTGTAATTAACACACTGTAAAGAGTATTTTAACTGATATTCCAAATGCTATTTGATTTGGAAAAATACTTTGTGAACGAAGCACATCAATATAGTGTGGATAGGTGGCTCTTCTAAGTAAATGATGATGGCTGGTCTCAGGGTCAGGGGAAGTAAATCGTACAAATGATTCGATTTTTTTTTTTTTTTTACAAAAGTAGTATTTATTCATACATGTTCATTACAATGCAAACAAAAAGTCATATATATATGTAAAATTACAAATATTTTAATCGTGAGTGTGATTTGCCATAAGGCCATCATTCGAATTTCACCAAAATTAGAGTAAGATATATATATTTTCTACTTTTTCAAATTTTAGAAACCTAACTTGAGGTTAGTTCATTGAAATCTTCATAATCAGGAAAAACCTCTTTGATATGTTGATTACTTTTGTAGGTTCTTAAATCTACTGCTTTGTTGTAAATATACATAACATTATACGACAGTTATTTCCCTTCCTCATTAAGCCTATTTAATACAGTGATTGATCTAGTAATGAACAAAGGTTTTAAGTAATATAATACCCATAAGAGTACAGTGAATTTTGCATTTACTGGCTTCTAAAGTTATCATATTTGTGACTTTCATGATAAAAAAATTTGTTTTTGTGATAAATTTTCATGTTGAAAAATTTGTTCCAAGTACAATGACTGAATGACAGTATGTGAATCAACATACTATCTCAAAATATGAGTAAAGAATGTGTAAAATATCACACAAGGTTGTAGTCTTCAAAATTCAAATTCTCAAAATAAATAAAAATGTTCAATCATGGCATCATCCTGATTGCTCCGTCTAATCGAATCACCTCTCCATTCATGTAACCGTTCTCTACGATGGACTGACACATGTGGGCATATTCATCAGGGTTTCCAAGGCGTGGTGGGAAAGGAATGGTGTTACACAGAAACGTGCGAACCTTTTCTGGTAATGATGCCAAAAGTGGTGTATCAAACAGGCCTGCGAATACAAACAGCAACTCAGATCTAGCTTCATTCTGCTTCCTAAAAACACTGATTCGTGTCTTTATATAGTCATACAGTGATGAGGAAGTTTGTTACTTAACATACCTGTCCTTACATGTAACGATGAAGGTTTATCTATTTTTTTTAAAATAATTATTATGCAATTGGAATTATCTAACAATAACTTAACTTAAACATTTGAGTCTGCAGGATCATGTCAAAAAGATATGTCTTCTCTTTTTGCAAAGAAGATATTTGCTGTTCATTGCAATATTGATTTTAACTCAGCAAAAAATAATCAACTAGACTTTGACAGAGACCTATAATATTGATCTATGATAATACATTCCTAATTTAACTCACAATTCTTCATTACACACAGCATCACAATCATTTACCAGATACAGATAGAATATATAGAAAAAAATGGGTATTTCAAGAAAACCGGAAAGTGACATTTACTGTGTGAGCAAATATGATAGAGAATTTGGTCTGCTTGACACGATCTCAACACTTGTACTTACTTAAGATTAAGTGTGTTTTATGAAGTTATGATGGGTCTAATCGTGACCTGCTGACAACATGACAGGTGACTTACCATTCAAATATTTTGTCAAGTTGGCTTCATCACATTATAACAAAAGAGATTTTTGATAAACTGAAATTTTAGTGACTGCTACCTTCAGCTGAAGGTCTCTGACTAAATACTGTAACAATATATTTATGGACAATGTTGTCTGGTGATTAACATGAAAGTACCTTCATTTCAGAATATCTCTAATAACTGATTAATAGATATGAATGTAGGATGAAAAAGGTTGTAAAGGAAAGCTGGTCTTTTTTTTACCTTTGTCTTTAATTCAAAGGTCATAATGACTTAATACAATGTTATAGTACACAAACACATGACTGTGTGTGATGAAGGTATCAGATAAGTTTTAGTTTCATCAAGTTAATATTCCATTTATTTGAGCTTGAGGTGGAGGTCACATAGATATCTACTTGTGAAAAGAATGACATGAATGATAATGGACTAGAAATATTGCATCTATTAGACCATGGAACACAGTCATATGTTGATGCAATTAGGTTTCAGATTTCATCAAGATATCTCGAATTTTTAAAGTTACAACAACAATATATAACAATATTTGCTGAAAAAATGCACTTTATACATTTCTGTGTGATCTTTGATTTTTAGGACAACTTTACAACAACCTCATTTCAGAACAATGCACACCACAAGTGGGTGATGCCATTATATTTCAAGTTCCATCAAAATCTTTGACAGTTCAAAAGTTATGGCCAAAGTTGAGAATGAATTGGAAATTTTATACTATACCTTCCACCTACAGATAAAAATCACATTGATCTCTGGGTAATAAATTAAATTATGTTTCAAGTTTCATAAAGATTTCAAATGGTTCAAAGTAATTGCCTGGACAACAAAAATAAGAAGACTAGAAGCAGTACTGAAACAATCCATCTCTCTTAGCTTGAAGGGGGGACCTATAATAAACAAGATCAATAGTCATTGACCAGCAGCAGTTTATGACGTACCTGATATTAAACTTGACCAGACAATAATATAAACACTTTGTCGGCCATTTAAATCTCCACTTAAAAGCAGTTTATTAAGTGTTTTTCAGATGGTGACCATGTGGGATACCAAACCAAACCAAAATTAGCTCTACTTTGTTGGGATCACCTCACGATCATTTGAGGAAAGATTCAACTAAAACCCACTGGTGGAATTTTGAAATTTGAAATGTGAAAGGTTTATGGAGAGTAGATGACAACAGATATAACACTAAGATTATATGTCATTCTGACCTATCATTCTGACTGTTGAGGTCAGATGATCTAAAAAGATATTTTGGGAGTCAGTTTTGTATCCTAGACACAAAACAGTAAACAAGAACTGAAGAGGAAATACAATAGAGTGCAAACACAGAAACAAAACAAGCCACTTACCAGGAGCAATGGTGCAGACCCTGATCTTCAGTGGAGCAAGGTCACGAGCAATTGGAAGGGTCATCCCCACGATTGCCCCCTTACTAGCAGAGTAGGCCGCTTGTCCTACCTGACCGTCGAAGGCTGCCACACTAGCTGTATTGATGAGGACACCACGTTCCTCCAGCTCTGAACTGGGATTCTTGGCCATCAGCTCTGCACTCATCCGCATCACATTAAATGATCCAACTGTATTAACCTGAAAGTCATGGATTTGTTTTGTGATACAATTACTGTCAATGCTTGACCTGCATATATAATGAATTGATTTGTGATCACAATGTAAATCAATATAGGAAAAAAATGAATACTAATGAAGGGCTACAGACTAAAAATAAGCTGTACAAGACTAACAATGACATTATTTATTGTCCTTGCTCTAATTGTAGTAACTGTAGCCTTCAACAGCATACATCATACATATTTACATGATATATCAACCAAATGGATAAGGCTTTATATGGTTGATTCTTGAGACAACACCAAACTTTCTATTGCCTGTCATTTACAAATTGAAGTTGTGTACAAGATTCCTAAAATTCAGATCGTTAACATTTATACTTATAAGGTATCACAATTTGAATACATTTTCTCATTTTCTAGTTTACCTGAAGAACTTTAGAAAACTCATCCAATGGGTGAAGACCTTTCTTTTGATGAAATGTTTTCACTGCTATTCCAATGCCAGCACAGTTGACTGCCACATTCAACCCTCCAAATTTCGACTCAGCACAATTCATCACTTCCCTCACATCTTTCTCTGATGTCACCTGTAGTTGATAAGATGACAGAAAATGTAGATCAGTGTAGGGACAATATATGTAGTAATTGTATTAAGAAAAACTAACATTTTACAAATTATCAATATAAAATCAATAAAATCAGGATGATCAATATTTATTGTATCAATACCTACACATCAATACACAGCCTCTAGGACCTACCTTCATTATGTTATTTTTCAAGAAATTCTTAAGAAACAATATTATCAAACTGTAAGTGTCAAAATCTAAAACACCTAGCTCATTTTATTTCTTCAATTCACATTAAAAGGAAAATAAAAGGCAAACATTGAAATGCCTAAAGGATTCATTCAGAAGTTGTTGTTTGTAATGGACAGGTGGTGTAATGGACATGTGGTGTAATGGACATGTGGTAGTAATGGACAGGTGGTAATAATGGACAGGTGGTCGTAATGGACAGGTGGTAGTAATGGACAGGTGGTAATAATGGACAGGTGGTAGTAATTGACAGGTGGTAGTAATGGACAGGTGGTAGTAATTGACAGGTGGTAGTAATGAACAGGTGGTAGAAATGAACAGGTGGTAGAAATGAACAGGTGGTAGTAATGGACAGGTGGTACAGGTGGTAGTAATGAACAGGTGGCAGTAATGAACAGGTGGTAGTAATGGACAGGTGGTAGTAATGAACAGGTGGTAGTAATGAACAGGTAGTATTAATGAATAGGTCATAGTAATGGACAGGTGGTAGTAATTGACAGGTGGTAGTAATTGACAGGTGGTAGTAATGAACAGGTGGTAGTAATTGACAGGTGGTAGTAATGGGCAGGTGGTAGTAATGAACAGGTCATAGTAATGGACAGGAGGTAGTAATTGACAGGTGGTAGTAATGAACAGGTGGTAGTAATGAACAGGTGGTAGTAATGGACAGGTGGTAGTAATGAACAGGTGGTAGTAATGAACAGGTGGTAGTAATGAACAGGTCATAGTAATGGACAGGAGGTAGTAATTGACAGGTGGTAGTAATGGACAGGTGGTAGTAATTGACAGGTGGTAGTAATGGACAGGTGGTAGAAATGGACAGGTGGTAGCAATGGACAGGTGGTAGCAATGGACAGGTGGTAGTAATTGACAGGTGGTAGTAATGGACAGGTGGTAGCAATGGACAAGTGGTAGTAATTGACAGGTGGTAGTAATGGACAGGTGTTAGTAAGGGAATGGCAGTGATATAGGACCGGAGCTAAATCACAGATTTAATCATACTGATGTCTCACATCTGCTGCTTGAAATACACAGTTTTTGCCCAAAGAGTCAGCAACGTTTTGTCCATCTGATGTAGCCAAATCCACAAGGACAACTTTGGCTCCTTGATTCACAAATCGTGTGGCGGTGGCTTTTCCCAGTCCTGATGCAGCCCCTGTCACCACGGTAACAAGACCCTACATAACAAAAACACTTGATACAGAATGCAATCATATACAAATTTTTAATACTGGGTGGGACAGGTCATACTTGTTTTTCTGATTTAATATTAAGGAAGCATTGGTTATCTACCTAGAACTTGAATTGTTTCAATCTTAAAACATGCATCCAAATATATCCCGCAAAATTTATATAAACTTAATTAATTACGTAGTTCCAAATATCATAGTATATCTCCATTTGTAAAGAAGGGGGTTGGCGGGTGCACTTTCGTTTATTTGACTGAATTTTTAATCGGATGTTGATTTGTTTTGTATATATGAAGTGTTCTTCATAATTTCTAGCGACCAATTGGATAATAAAAAGTGAAATATTTATAGTCCCTAGATTCAAGAATTATGAAAACAGATTAATTAAGACAGCATCCAAATGTGCATTTAGACACACACATACAGTATATCACTTGTGAACTCAACCGGTAATAATTTCACAATTGAAATTGTAAAGAATCATTTCTACATGTACGTAGCACCTTATAACCTACAGAAGTAAGCGTCAATGGAACAAATCATAAAAGTAGCTGAAAATATCTTGTATACAAAAAACATGATTGAAGTTTCCTGGTATATTTCTAAGGATGCTTTGACAACATCGAACTTGTGACATCACAGATGTGAACTATCCATATCGAGGCAGCTGCTGTTGAACCAAAGGTGCACATTTCAGTTAAATCACAATAACTAGGATACAGAATTAACTATGACTTTTGCACTTTCTTGACCTTTTATTGTATGATATGAAGTATTATATAGCTAAATATGGCAAAACACTCAGGGTACACTTTAAAATTCAAAATGCACTTTGTGACTGTTAAGGGTACTGTGACCAGGTTCTGTAATTTTTGAAGAGTTTGACACTTTTGTAGTTATATTTATTGTTGTTATTAAAAAGTAGGTTAATGGAAGGTTTTTATTAATTTCTGAAACTTTGATGTTAAAATAAACCTATTACAGTTGTGACTTTGTCATATCTACTTTATAAACTTTTGATTTCTTCTTTAACTTAAATCATTAAGTAATACATCAGAAACAGAAAACTCCAACATTCCAACTATTATCTTGTTTTGGTTTGGACAGAGACATATATAACACGTTACATCTCTGGTTTGGAGGAACATAAACAATAAAATTTTCTATTCTAATCCTCATAATTTGACCCCCAAGTTTCTACGAGTCCACACAAAATCTCATGTTTTGAATAGCATATCTTATGCAGCTGACATTAACACATTTCCCTTCAAATTATTTTGACATCCTATGCATGGTTGAGTTCCTTATTTCCATTAACAATGGAGTAGATACAGTATTCAGATGTTTGCACTAAACTTTGAAACATGATTGGTATCAGCTTGTAGAAAAAGGATCTATGTGCCATATGCATGGATGAATGATGAAAAATTTCCACGATTATCGTATGAAAGCCTAACCATGCACAGGTTTCTTGTTTCCCTCACTTTTTATAGGGACAGACTTTTGACATTCATCAACTCCAAGCTGATATATAAAAGTAGACATTACATCAGAATAGCTGCAGAATGGCCTGGATTTCATTTGTTAAACTTAAACAACGGGTATGCACCAATTCGGAAACATTGCATTGGACAGTCATCAACCGATTTTCAAAAATATAAAGAAAAAAATGGCATATTCCTATTCATACTTTGTCATCAAAAGCAAGATTGAATTGTTGTGACATGGTTGATAAATTCATATTAGAGCTAGACGGCATCATGTGTTTCCAACAGTTTTGAAAATAAATGTTGACAATTTAAAATTAGCAGATGAAATCAGCTAACAAAAAGTGAGTTTGCAAATAAATTTGTGAAAATGACCTTTAGCTTGCCGGCTGACATGTTCCTCGTTTCGATAGAGCAAAATCTGGGAGAGAGTGCGAAGGTGAACACACCCCCATGTGAACCAATCAAATCTTTCGTTACTTTTGTCCTATTATTTAGTCCAATAACAGAGTGCGAGACAATTGGTAGCGTGTATCAAAACAATAGTCTAAGTCAACCAGACGCTTGTTGTACACTTCCGATGTGGATGCATGAGACTATACCACATGGAGGAGATGGACACTGAAGTTGACGATTGCTTCCTGGCAATTGCTGGTGTTTTCGACAGTTTAGAATCAAATAATCACAACCAACTCTTAGAGCTTCTACAGAAGTTAACAAACAAATTGAAAGAAGCGAATTCGAGGTAATCATTGTTTATTAAGGTATTTCATGTTGTCGACTGCACCGGCACATGTGATTTCAATTTCAATAGTACTTAAAATAACAAACCATGCTATAGCTTTATCAGAACAACTTTTGTGTGGTTTGTTATTTCTAAATGCAATTGAAATTGAGTCCACAAGTACCTACTTTAGAAACAAGCCACAAGTCAAAACAAAAGGTGAGTTATCATCAGATACTTCTTCGCTTTTTCTGATGACAGTCCCATTTGTATGTTTTATCTTGTCTTTCGAAAAATTGAGAGGTGTAATTGTTTCTGTGACAGAAACTAATCAAAAATAACAAGCAACATGTCATCAGTAAGTGTTACCGGTTATGGTGCAATATAATATTATGGAAGGGAGACAACTCTTATGAACTACATGTGCAAATATTTTTTGCTTCTTATCATTGTGAAAGGATTAATACTATGTACATGTCCATAGTATAACTAACTTAATACATTATAAGCAATTGGTAGGTTTCCATATAATCATCAGACATTTTATATTTAAAGTAACATTAAACAGTTTGATAATAGACTGTCGGTGCCTGGAAAGAGCAAAACTTTACATAACACATCAATATTCAATCAATGAAAGTTAAAAAAAATAAGACGCACGGTAATGTTGGTAAACTGATGAATTTAATACACAAATGATTGATCGTGCAACTATTGTGCTGTTGACATTTTGTGTTCTTAATGGAAAAACATCTGTTCGTTTAGTAAAAATTAAAAAGGAAGTCATATGAAGTGAGGAAAATGCAAACATTGTCGAAGTATTTTCAGTTAATTTGATATTAGCTGTTGGTAGTGCAGAGGGCCAACATGTACTGCTCTATATACCTTGTCACTTTCAGAAGAATTTTCTCTGTTGCATCATGTCCAGATGTGTTGATGAAATGTCTCACATACATGTACATTGTATGCTAACAGTAAAAAGCTTCAATTGGGGGCCTTTGGCACACATAAGCTTTGAATTCACTCTTATAAATGTATCTGCTACTAAAATAGCAGGTATGATCCATAGTAGTATTTCTGTTATTCTAGTTTTGTTTACAACTTTTTGAAACCTACATATACCCAACACAACACCAATTTTTTGTGTTTCCGTTGATCAATTAATTGTGATATTTTCTGTTCTATAAATATGATGGAAATGTGGTTCAGAATCAACATTGCAAAAATGAAACCAAACTCAAATTCAGCAGATTAACTGAATAATTTACATCTATGTGTGTACTTTTATGCCCCCAGATCAAAAGATGGGGCATATTGTTTTTGTTCTGTCTGTTTGTTATCAACTTCAACCTTGCCCATGACTGTTGCACAATAAGAAGTAGGACTTTCATATTTGGCATGTACATTTCTTGTGACAAGACTGCTTTGAGGGTGCCAAAATTGTTAACCATGTGACCTTGACCTTTTACCTACATTTGAAAGTACCACAATGAAGACATAAAGGTTTCACAAAGTGTGCTTGCAGTTAGCACATGCCTTACACAGTAAAGCTTTGATGTCCCACTTCAGAATTTTGTTGCAACCAGGAGCATAGTATTTCTTAAACACTTATTATGTCTATCAATTTGATTACTGAGCTGATGCTGATTGATAACCTGGCTGTATATTTCCCATGGAAAAAGCTAATTTCCAGTGATACAGACAGTTAACCTGATTACAAGCAGCTATACATCAAGAAAAGATATTAAAATAAAAAATTAAAGAATCTAGAAGTAAAAACTAATTGATATTTGTTAAGTTATTTTCTTGTGTGATTACCTTGAAAAAAAAACCTGTTATTTTCAGGGAAAAAATAGTCAAGACTCATGTTGAAATAATTGTCAAAGTGCTGCATAAATGCGATGAAAATCTGAAGGAGGATTTTGATGAGAGGCCGCCACCAGAAGTAATATGTTGTATTACAGAGTGTTATCGTACACTTCGGAATGCTTGTGCAGGATGTCGAGCCAATCAGGACCTTGTCATTCAGTCTAGCTGCCTGGAATGTTGTGTGAACACAATTAGACAATGTCTTCGAGAACAAACAGAATCTAGTTTTCTCTCCAAGATGGATGAAGATAAAATTGTGTGTCTTCAGTGTTGTGTCCAGTTTTTAGGAAACTTGGTTGTTGGACATCTTGAGAACAGCAAACAAGTTTGGAATCGGCTTTCAAAGAGCTTTAGGTCAGTTGCTCAAGTTACTTTACCTATGGAGTATTTTTAAATTTGATATTTGGATGTCAACATTGAATGATTCAACTTTAGATTGGAATTGTAAATTAATTGATTTAAATGTTCATTAACTAATTTCTTTCTAAAAAAAAAAAAAATGATACAATTGTTACATAATGTATTAATACTAGTTAAGTTTCCAAAATTTAAATTTCAGAAACTGTTAATACATTACAACAAACTTTTTGGATGTGATCAATCAGTTTTGTCTATCTCTTAATTTAGATAGGTAAATGTGAAAAAGCAGTGCATATATAAATACACAAATATATCATTACATGTTCAGAATATAGCCCCAAATATGGTCTTTGTTTTATAGGGATCTGTTGTTTGTGGAGGACACCAAGCTTACTCAGTACATTTGTATGGTTGTTCATTCCTGTATCCAGGCAGGAAGATGTGATCAGGAGTGGTTGACGAGACTAGGGGCTGACCTTGATTTCCAACAGATTGTATGTCGAATTCTCAATGTTCTTACCACCACAGACATGGATTGGGGGTCAGTTATTCTTTGTTGTTGATAAAAATATCAGTCACTCTCAAACAACAAATTTTATAATAATGTATCTTTGGGATCTTTTAATCAGATCACAACAAAATATCAACAGAAACAACACAATCATTGTGTGGTATGTAACTGACTGTAGCAGTTCATGGAAAAATCCTTCCTTTTAGTACTCATGGTCAGTTCTGGTCAGTAATTACCAGCCTCACATTGCTCAGTTCAATTTTCAGGATTTCCCACTGAGCATGTTTTTTTTCTCATTTGTTTATATATTCTTGATGTTCCAAATTTTGTATTTTACTTACATTGTGACAGATAAGTAATTATAAAGTTTCACAAAATTGCATAATAATTTACATTTAGTATGTACCAAATGATGGATGAATTCATACAAGTTAGAAGATGAGGGAAATTTGTACTTTGCTACACTCTAGGGTGAAATATTAGATACAACGATATTGTATATTGACAGGATGTATGTTATAGAGGACGCTATGATGATAAAAGGTATTCTAGAGGTGATTGATCTGCAGCTCTCCATTAAAGAAAGGTGAGTGATCATTGACCTTGTGTTATTTAGCGGCTGGTGATAATCAAGTGGGTCAATTTTCACCCCACCACCTTCAGCTTGTCTGTCTGTTCATTCTTAAACATTTTTGTTACTGCTGTTCATCAGATTTAAGCGCTTGAATGATCATTGTCAAGTTTCAAATGTAGGTTCTCCAAATTGATCCCTAGTTGTGTTTTGCTCATTTTTGATCACAAAAACAAAATGACTGCCCAGTGAACATCCTGGATTTTAACTGCTATAGATTGATATTGCTATTTGTTTTAGAATTTGTAAAGGCATCATTCACTAATTCCCTTTGAAAGTTTCTCATGGTCTAAAGCTATGCTTTGGAATTGTCCTTTGTTGACTGATGGGTATAACAAAATTACCAGCAGGTGGCCGTTTTAGTTTTTGACTGTTAAAGAGCTTGTTATTGTTAATATATGTATTACTTGACAAGTTCTGGATGGTTCTTTCACAAATTTCATAATTACAGTATGTAAGTTCCCCTTGGGTCTGAGTTGTACAATGTACAAGTTAACTGATCACAGTAGCAAATGACTGCCAGGTGGCAATCTCAGATTTCAACAGTTATAATATGTTGTCTTTATTTCCTTAGAGGTAATGGATAGATTTTTCTAAAATATAACAACAAATGGAAAATAGGAACAGATGGGGACAGATCCTACTAATAAAGATCTAATAGTGTAAAGATAACAGGTGGGCATCAAGATCCTTCTGGGATATCTCATGTTAACTGACTGCTCTTTTCTACTTACTGTCAATACAGGATATTTGCTCTAGAAGTACTACTGAGCCAGCTGAGAAGCATGTCGGACTCCGAGGGTCCCAGGGATGGTGTGTTAGATGTGTGTTTAGATACTCTTCAGTATCTGAGTAAGGAGGTGGTCAGTAATGCTTACAACATTCTAATTTTGGCCAGTGAGGACAATCAAATGACCAGTACTCCAGTAAGTCTGTCAGCCAAGGCCATCAGTTTGGTTTAAATCGGATCTCTCATTTGACATTGTAATATGTACCTCATTACATGAGCATTTAGCACAAGTCTATGTGAATGGTTGTTCTGATGACCTACAGTCAAATTTTCAACTGTTACTAAAAAAACATGCAGAGTACTGTGCAAGATAAAATTCCTGTAGCTTTGATTGAATCCTGATATTAGGGTATAAATTTTGATGGCATGAAGATGTGCAGCAAAGGCCTTGAACATGCAATTTTTCTTGATGTTTTTAACTGGAAAATTGTTTTCAGGCCTCTAATTGTCTTAAATACTTTTGACTCTCCTACCTTATCAATAAGTTATGTTGCTTTAACTGTCATAATGTGCTCTCCAATGTACACAAACTTTTATCATATTCAACTTTCAAGTTCTATCAATGGGATCTAGTTGAAACTTGCCGGGAATGATCTTGAGATGTCCTGACAAACTGTTGTTATTTTTCATGTCAATTCAGAATTGAAGATGGGCGTCATATGGCAACCACATGGGAAAAAACTAATTTCAAATTTATTTCTTAATTCCGTCAGTGTAACTGAGCTTGAAGGATGCGGATGTTAAAGTTAACAGCATTACTTAAAAAACAGCCAAACTAAGATTGGGGGGAAAAAATGTAATTTCAGTTTCCTAAATGTCTACAAGATGTCACTTCAGATGACAAAATCTTCCAGTCATCATATCAAAGGAAGTGCAGACATCTAAGTTTCAAATTATCGTCCATTCCCCACACCAAAAGTACCCACTGACACCCCAATCCAGAACCTATAGTAATAGTACTAACTGGCATATAGGCACATAGTTAAAAGTGCCATATCATTGAGTTCTATCCCTATTAGATCTTAATTTTCATTGGTTTTCATATATCAAGTGTATCATCTTATGTACAATGAGGGTTGGTTTTTAGCTGAAATATACACATAACAAAGTTACTTAATAATCATAAAAAGGAAATCCTTATCTATTGATCGACCGTCTGGATATGTAAATTTTTGTGTCATATTTGATAATGCATGAGCACAAAAAACAGTTGCCTGTTATTATAAATGGCTTCCCACCTGAATTGATCGTGACAATGATGGTAATTAACATTACTAATTGCATAATTCTGAATTGACGTAATGTTGTCAAATAACATTTGCCACACCCATAATAAAATCCGGTGCTGAAATGCAGGATTTTACTGACTGTGTCAGTACTGTTGTCATTTTTGCCCAACATCATGTGTTTGTCTTTACAAAATGAATTGCCTCATTTTCAAAACTTTGCATTAACATTATCAGTGCTAAATTTGTGAGGGATTTCCCAAACCAAAGTGGCCAAGCTGGACATTGGAAATTGTGAATATTGGGATTGCATAGAAACTCAAATGGAAATTAATATAACACATAAAATCAGTTGAAACAAAATTAATGTTTTTATTGTGATGACCCTTTAAGGGTCAAAGGTCTCTTGTCCACTTTAAACATTTTGAAATGTGAAGAAACTGTAAAGAGGTGTTGTGTATTAATGAGCCCTTCTTCACTTAGGGTTTTGTTTTTTTATTGTAGCAGCCAGAAGTGATAGTGAAGCAAATAGAGGCTTTAGGTGAGGCATCCTCTAACCACAGTCATTATAGTGGTCTTCAGGACAACCCAGACCTTCTGACATCAGCAGTATGTAAGTATCAACCCTACTGTGAAAGTTGATGATGAAGGGGTGTTCCATTCCGCCCGGGGCTAGTGATTTTTAGGTCTGGGCTAGCTGTTCCAAAATACTGACCAGCCCGTGGGCTAGTGTAAATTATCTGTTCTTGACCTGCATTAAAAGTCAACCCAAAGAATGCCTTCATCTAGGTGTATCAAACACTTGGTTATGTAATGGATGGATTTAAGAATTCAAGTGTAATAGCGACTCAGATGTAAATGCAACTTTACCGAAATGTAAACTAGCTTAAGAATTGCAGGGATGATTTACCAGGTAGATTAGAATTGTAATATAAAGAGACAGTAAGTGAATATGTCACCGATTGTTGGATATATGATTCTAAATTATAAATTAAGCAAATCCTGATGCTTTTGAAATTGAAATAAGATCATTTGTGCTTTGTGCTACTGCTTTGATAGGTTTTACATCACGCAAGACGTTTTCACATCAAAATAAGCCACAGTTGGCTTTCCAGATAATGTAAGGAAATATTTTAGTTACACGAAGATATGTATACTTGACAGATGTTAACAACATTGTCTTCTGAAATACACATTTCTCAGTAATTTTGTTGGCTTTATAATTCAAATATTGCAAATTTATAAATAAAAACTTATACTGTTACACATTTCCCTATGAGAAATATAGGAATAACAGTTTCATAGATATTAGCTCCAATTGTTAAGACTCAATATATACTTTGTTTCCTTACGATTTCCCACTGCAAATAAGATGGAAGAATAAATTACATGCATCTAGAATGTAGAAGTCAGGGTGACTTGCTAAACCTGTGGTATACATGTACAATATATATGAATTAATTTCATTCATGTTAATTTTAATTATCAACTTATTGCACAGAAACCAGGCAAACAGTATCATTTATACATGTTTTATGCTTTATTGAATAACACAGATGGGATTAATTCTATTGAGGAAATGGTAAATTAAAGTTAAAAAACAGCATTTAGCGTTAATTGAAAAATTCCAAAAGTGGGGCTAGTAGTTTTGATCAGGGATAGTGAGAAAAAATGGTTCACTAGCCCTTTGGCTAATGGAAAATTTTCAGAATTGAACACCCTTGTGATCTGGCTACCATTATTTCAAAATCAAGTGAAACATTAAATTTATTGATCCTTCAAGTACTCACAAGTAAATATATGCATTATCAGCTCAGTGACCTGTCTGTCTGACCCCAGTTGCTTAAAACTTGAGAGTTAATCTGTGGTAAGTGAAAAAGTTAAATTCATGCTACTTAAAAAACAGGACTTTCAAAGCAAAATTGACACTTGAAATGTATCAATCTGATCTGTGTCAACAAATCCACTATTGTGAAATGATAAAGGATGCTTCCAGATTTGTTGAATTCATGTTTGAAATTTTTACTAACCACTTTTACAAAACTTTTGGCAACTGGGCCTCCCCTACAAGCAACTTTGAGGAAATGCAAGTCCATCTGTCTGTCCATAAAAATATTCTAAGCATCGTTCTGCCTTGAAAGTTTGGTTTTAGTTGTTTTGTAACTTTGACACAGATTAAACTTGTAATCTATGGATGTGGAAGAAGAAAGTTTGTATGTTTCCTGTAGTTTCCTTGACTTCCTAGCTATTAGATAATTAGATGGTGGATTGCCCGAATATCGCTTGGTCTGTCATGTGGTCAGGGATGCTTGTGTCAGTATAACATATTTCTCATGGTACTTACAGATCTCCTCGAAGCTATTCACAAATTAGGTCAGGACAGTTCTAATGCTTTCAGCAGTGTGAAGAAGTTAGCCTCTGATGAAGTGGACACTGACCATCCAGTGTTTGGCCTCAGAAAGGACCTAGTCAGACTTATAGGGAACATGTGTTTCAGGCACCAGCGAAACCAGGAACAGGTACCATTAATGTTTTTTTTTATATTTGTAGATTTCCATAGTGTCTTTTGGTGTGACAACCTTCTAAACTCCACTACTATCAAAATATACATGTACACTGCTCTGTTAAGTGCTGCTTTTTTGGAGATAATTAAACACTTAATTGTTTACAGTATCAAAGTTCTGCCAGTAGGTATGGTTTGACATCTTCCTGCTTTCTGTTGGAACTGCCTAAAAGAGAGTGAATTGAAATCTATAAAGTACACACATAACTATTATGGGATTTAAAATAATGATTTGAATTTTTAAACCTACAACCAACATAGTAGCGACTTCTGGGACTTTAGAATTTGTATAGAATACATTAATGTTGGACCTGTCCTATATACAGCTACCTATTATTAAGGCTAGATGTTCCAGAGTGTAGAGCAACATTTGGTAACATCTACACTAACAGATGTTCAGGTTCCTGTACTGACAGTGACGTCAAATTTAGAAAATAAAACAGTACCATTTTGAAACTCCTTGAATTTTCATTTCTATGTCCCTGCCATTGGCCGAAGCATATTACTATTGCCCTTGACCTTCATTTTGTTATACTGTCTGATATATTTTCGCTTCAAGTATTCCGATGGATAAAGATATCAGACTTAATTTCTATAATTTGTTGTTGTATCATGGGAAGAATTTAGTCCAGTTCTTGCTAGAGTTATGGCCCTTTGACTTTAGAAATTTCAAAATTCTACTTGTATTCTCAGTGTTGGATGGGGGTATTGCTGTGGATTTTGATGTGCAGTTTCTCCGAAGTTACCAGGTTTGACTCTTGGTCAGATTATATAATTAAGAAAAAAGGCTAGCATGTTATCTAATGACACAGGATTACTACTACATTCTACAAAAGGTACAACATGTAATTTGTCCGAGATTCTTCCTTGTGTCTGTTAGGTTGGTATAGAACACAAAATAAACCTTGTTACCTGGTGCTTGTGTCAGTTCATCTTCTACATTAATGATTAAGCATTAGTATTCACACATTTTTTAGTGAGTATGCTTGGAGAAAAAGTCAGTGTTAAAGTGCAAGTTATAGATTTGTATATTATTCTTTTAATATTTTGTAAGTAGCTTGTCTGAAAAAGTAAGTTGAAGACTATTGTCATAAGCTCATAAAGTAGGTCACATAACTGACCTTTTCTCCCACAGGGCCTTAACAGTTACAGAATGCCTTTTCAGGGTTAATTAGCAGGAAATTTGTAGTCTTATTTTGATAAAACATGTACGTATTGTAGAAATGATCTCAGGTAAGTGGAGATCAGAATATATCCTTGACAAAATGCTGAATGATTTCTTGGGCTGACAAAGACCTCTACCTTAATAGCCCACACCAAGGAGGGATCAGTCAGCAGTTTGTCATGTACTCCGAGGTAGATATTCTCATGCCGACTTGCCTGGGACTATTTCTAGCACATTTTTTGGTGGAAAAATTGCTTTGTGACCCATTATTATTTCTTCATATAAACATCGTAATTTAAACAACAATTCTGCAAAATCCTTTACAATTTCTGACACCAAAAAAATATACAACAGTTTTATTTGATAAATATACAATAAAGTATAAAGTTACAATTTAGTTCTAAAGATATTTTTGTTTAATTTCTATATCTCATCTGAAATAAAAATATCCTGAGTGTCTACTTTACTCATCTTGATCACTTCTCAATGTGTATTACATAGGTGTCAGGCATCACTTCTCAATGTGTATTACATAGGTGTCAGACATCACTTCTCAATGTGTATTACAAAGGTGTCAGATATCAAGATCACTTCTCAATGTGTATTACATAGGTGTCAGAAATCACTTCTCAATGTGTATTACATAGGTGTCAGGTATCACTTCTCAATGTGTATTACATAGGTGTCAGACATCACTTTTCATTGTGTATTACATAGGTGTCAGACATCACTTCTCAATGTGTATTACATAGGTGTCAGGCATCACTTCTCAATGTGTATTACATAGGTGTCAGGCATCGAGATCAATTCTCAATGTGTATTACATAGGTGTCAGACATCACTTCTCAATGTGTATTACATAGGTGTCAGACATCACTTCTCAATGTGTATTACAAAGGTGTCAGACATCAAGATCACTTCTCATTGTGTATTACATAGGTGTCAGACATCACTTCTCAATGTGTATTACATAGGTGTCAGAAATCACTTCTCAATGTGTATTACATAGGTGTCAGGTATCACTTCTCAATGTGTATTACATAGGTGTCAGGTATCACTTCTCAATGTGTATTACATAGGTGTCAGGCATCACTTCTCAATGTGTATTACATAGGTGTCAGGCATCGAGATCAATTCTCAATGTGTATTACATAGGTGTCAGACATCACTTCTCAATGTGTATAACATAGGTGTCAGACATCACTTCTCATTGTGTATTACATAGGTGTCAGACATCAAGATCACTTCTCAATGTGTATTACATAGGTGTCAGACATCACTTCTCAATGTGTATTACATAGGTGTCAGACATCACTTCTCAATGTGTATTACATTGGTGTCAGACATCAAGATCACTTCTCAATGTTTATTACTTAGGTGTCAGACATCACTTCTCAATGTGTATTACATAGGTGTCAGACATCCAGATCACTTCTTAATGTGTATTACATAGGTGTCAGACATCAAGATCACTTCTTAATGTGTATTACATAGGTGTCAGACATCACTTCTCAATGTTTATTACATAGGTGTCAGACATCACTTCTCAATGTGTATTACATAGGTGTCAGACATCCAGATCACTTCTCAATGTGTATTACATAGGTGTCAGACATCACTTCTCAATGTGTATTACATAGGTGTCAGACATCACTTCTCAATGTGTATTACATAGGTGTCAGACATCACTTCTCAATGTGTATTACAAAGGTGTCAGACATCACTTTTCATTGTGTATTACATAGGTGTCAGACATCAAGATCACTTCTCAATATGTATTACATAGGTGTCATACATCACTTCTCAATGTGTATAACATAGGTGTCAGACATCACTTCTCATTGTGTATTACATAGGTGTCAGACATCACTTCTCAATGTGTATAACATTGGTGTCAGACATCACTTCTCAATGTGTATTACATAGGTGTCAGACATCAAGATCACTTCTCTTTGTCTATTACATAAGTGTCAGACATCAATATCACTTCTCAGTGTGTAGTACATAGTTGTCAGACATCAAGTTCACTTCTCAATGTGTATAACATACATTACAGTGTCAAGTATTATTCAGTATAAACACAGTTAACACTGTAACTAATAGTGTTCTTTCTCTCCACAGGCTGCCACCCTTAATGCCTTACCTTTAATTCTGGACCAAACCAACATCGACAAGAAAAATCCATGTATCCTTTTTCTTTCTATGAACTTGAATGGGAGATTTAATCAAAATGTTTTTTGTCATTGGTTGTAATTTCCACAAGAGGACAATGGAGGACATCAATGGTATACAGAATCATCAATTGAATTGGTCTGTCCCTATGCTGGCCTGTAATTTGCACATTGGTGTTACATGTATATCAAAGGATACTATACTTTTGGGTCATCGCTTTTTATCTTTTTGACTAGTTATATGAAACAGGTAATTTAATGTAATTGAACATTACCTAGGTACTTAAACTAGGACAAACTAGATTTGAATGATGTGAACAAATAAATTTGTCACTTGGTTGCTTTGTACATTGAATATGCGTGAATCCTTTTTCATAGCAATTTGGCCTCTCATAGATGCAATGTTAACTGTTTGCACTTAAACAACATGTTCTGTTTTTTATCGCCCTGTTTTTATAGTCTGTAGAAAAGGAATCCATAGTGTACATTGATGTATTAGACCTTAACCGTTGGAAGACATTACACAATGGGCCATTCTCGCTGTGCGAAACCTCTGTGAAGGGAGCCCGCAGAATAAACAAGTTCTTGCTGGTTTAAAAAAGCAGGGGCTGGCTGACAACTCCACTGTTCTGCAAGAGCTTGGCATGGATGCAGAAGTCAGGGATGATAAAATCTATGTAACACCATCAAGAAAAGACCAGGAACCGGAGGGATGACTGTGACAATATACTATATTACTAAGTGATGGGGAAAAAGGGGAGGGGTTACCGTGGCAAAATACTGCATTATCTAGTGATTGGCAGGAAGGGGAGGGGTAACGATGACAATATACTGCATTGCCTAGTGATGGACAGGAAGTTGAGGGGTAACCATGACAATATACTACATTGCCTAGTGATGGGTAGCAAGGGGAGGAGTAACCATGGCAATATACTACATTTCCTAGTAATGGACAGGAAGTCGAGGGGTAACCATGACAATATACAACATTGTCTAGTGATGGGTAGCAAGGGAAGGAGTAACCATGGCAATATACTACATTTCCTTGTAATGGGAAGGAAGGGGAGGGGTAACTATGGCAACATACTACATTTCCTAGTAATGGGAAGGAAGGGGAGGGGTAACTATGGCAACATACTGTACTGCATAGTGATGGAACAGAGATGAAAGGGTAACCATGGTAATATACTGTATTATTCAGTATGTGGCAGGAGAGGAAAGGGGAACTATGGCAATATACTGCCTTACCTAGTAAGGGATAGAGGGAGGATGGATCACTGGAAAGTATATAGTTTAAGTTGGAATATCCTTTTATTGAAGAAACTGTGATAATTAAATATTCAGCATGGACAATATCTATAATACTGTGTTTCATTTGTTTTATTTGAAACCTTTCTGCTTTTCATAGTCCAGGCTTATTTTGACATAAAAAAGCTCTGGTATTTATCTTCATTCGAAATAAATGACCGAGAGACTGCTTAAATTTGAAATACGAATGTACATAGCTTGTGTATGAATGATAAGACAACATTATATGACACATGTGGTAACAATGACACAGCGTTGTATGGCTTACGTGGTAACAATGCAACATTATATGACACATGTGGTAACAATGATGGGTTGTATGGCTTAGTGGTAACAATGACAGGTTGTACGGCTTACGTGGTAACAATGACAGGTTGTACGGCTTACGTGGTAACAATGACAGGTTGTATGGCTTACGTGGTAACAATGACAGGTTGTATGGCTTACGTGGTAACAATGACAGGTTGTATGGCTTACGTGGTAACAATGACAGGTTGTATGGCTTACGTGGTAACAATGACAGGTTGCATGGCTTACGTGGTAACAATGACAGGTTGAATGGCTTACGTGGTAACAATGACAGGTTGTATGGCTTACGTGGTAACAATGACAGGTTGTATGGCTTACGTGGTAACAATGACAGGTTGTACGGCTTACGTGGTAACAATGACAGGTTGTATGGCTTACGTGGTAACAATACCAGGTTGTATGGCTTACATGGTAACAATTATATAACATTGTATGACATGTATCAACAACAACACAGTCAATCACAAGATTTCTGTGTAAGCAACATACCTAATTATATTGTATGCAAAATATACAATAACATAAGTTATTTGACTCGTGTATCAACAAAGACAAAACATCACCTCCCTCATGTATCAACAAAGACACAACGTCACCTCCCTCATGTATCAACAAAGACAAAACGTCACCTCCCTCATGTATCAACAAAGACAAAACGTCACCTCCCTCATGTATCAACAAGGACAAAACGTCACCTCTCTCATGTATCATCAGACAAAACATCACCTCCCTCATGTATCAACAAAGACGAAACGTCACCTCCCTCATGTATCAACAAGGACAAAACGTCACCTTCCTCATGTATCAACAAGGACAAAACGTCACCTCCCTCATGTATCAACAAAGACACAACGTCACCTCCCTCATGTATCAACAAAGGCAAAACGTCACCTCCCTCATGTATCAACAAGGACAAAACGTCACCTCCCTCGTGTATCAACAAAGACAAAACGTCACCTCCCTCATGTATCAACAAGGACAAAACGTCACCTCTCTCATGTATCATCAGACAAAACATCACCTCCCTCATGTATCAACGAAGACGAAACGTCACCTCCCTCGTGTATCAACAAGGACAAAACGTCACCTCCCTCGTGTATCAACAAGGACAAAACGTCACCTCCCTCATGTATCAACAAGGACAAAACGTCACCTCCCTCATGTATCATCAAAGACAAAATGTTACCTCCCTCATGTATCATCAAAGACAAAATGTCACCTCCCTCATGTATCAACAGACAAAATGTCACCTCCCTCATGTATCAACAAAGACAAAACGTCACCTCCCTCGTGTATCAACAAAGACAAAATGTCACTTCCCTCAAGTATCAACAGACAAGATGTCACCTCTCTCATGTATCAACAGACAAAATGTCACCTCCCTCATGCATCATCAAAGACAAAATGTCACCTCCGTCATGTATCAACAGACAAAATGTTACCTCCCTCATGTATCAACAAAGGCAAAACGTCACCTCCCTCATGTATCAACAAAGGCAAAACGTCACCTCCCTCATGTATCAACAAAGACAAAACGTCACCTCCCTCATGTATCAACAAAGACAAAACGTCACCTCCCTCATGTATCAACAAGGACAAAACGTCACCTCTCTCATGTATCATCAGACAAAACATCACCTCCCTCATGTATCAACAAAGACGAAACGTCACCTCCCTCGTGTATCAACAAGGACAAAACGTCACCTCCCTCATGTATCATCAAAGACAAAATGTCACCTCCCTCATGTATCAACAGACAAAATGTCACCTCCCTCATGTATCAACAAGGACAAAACGTCACCTCTCTCATGTATCAACAAAGACGAAACGTCACCTCCCTCGTGTATCAACAAGGACAAACCGTCACCTCCCTCATGTATCATCAAAGACAAAATGTTACCTCCCTCATGTATCATCAAAGACAAAATGTCACCTCCCTCATGTATCAACAGACAAAATGTCACCTCCCTCATGTATCAACAAGGACAAAACGTCACCTCCCTCATGTATCAACAAAGACAAAACGTCACCTCCCTCATGTATCAACAAGGACAAAACGTCACCTCTCTCATGTATCATCAGACAAAACATCACCTCCCTCATGTATCAACGAAGACGAAACGTCACCTCCCTCGTGTATCAACAAGGACAAAACGTCACCTCCCTCGTGTATCAACAAGGACAAAACGTCACCTCCCTCATGTATCAACAAGGACAAAACGTCACCTCCCTCATGTATCATCAAAGACAAAATGTCACCTCCCTCATGTATCAACAGACAAAATGTCACCTCCCTCGTGTATCAACAAAGACAAAATGTCACTTCCCTCATGTATCAACAGACAAAATATCTCCTCTCTCATGTATCAACAGACAAAATGTCACCTCCCTCATGCATCATCAAAGACAAAATGTCACCTCCCTCATGTATCAACAGACAAAATGTTACCTCCCTCATGTATCATCAAAGACAAAATGTCACCTCCCTCATGTATCAACAAAGGCAAAACGTCACCTCCCTCATGTATCAACAAAGACAAAACGGCACCTCCCTCATGTATCACCTCCCTCATGTATCAACAGACAAAATGTCACCTCTCTCATGTATCAACAGACAAAATGTCACCTCCCTCATCTCTCAACAAAGACTAAACGACACATCACTTCTGTATCAACAAAAAAAATGTAACCTCGCTCGTGTATCATCAAAGACAAAATGTCACCTCCCTCATGTATCAACAAAGACAAAACGTCACCTCCCTCGTGTATCAGCAAGGACAAAACGTCACCTCCCTCATGTATCAACAAAGACAAAATGTCACTTCCCTCATGTATCAACAGACAAAATGTCACTTCCCTCATGTATCAACAGACAAAATGTCACCTCTCTCATGTATCAACAGACAAAATGTCACCTCCCTCATGCATCATCAAAGACAAAATGTCACCTCCCTCATGTATCAACAGACAAAATGTTACCTCCCTCATGTATCAACAAAGGCAAAACGTCACCTCCCTCATGTATCAACAAAGGCAAAACGTCACCTCCCTCATGTATCAACAAAGACAAAACGTCACCTCCCTCATGTATCAACAAAGACAAAACGTCACCTCCCTCATGTATCAACAAGGACAAAACGTCACCTCTCTCATGTATCATCAGACAAAACATCACCTCCCTCATGTATCAACAAAGACGAAACGTCACCTCCCTCGTGTATCAACAAGGACAAAACGTCACCTCCCTCATGTATCATCAAAGACAAAATGTTACCTCCCTCATGTATCATCAAAGACAAAATGTCACCTCCCTCATGTATCAACAGACAAAATGTCACCTCCCTCATGTATCAACAAGGACAAAACGTCACCTCTCTCATGTATCATCAGACAAAACATCACCTCCCTCATGTATCAACAAAGACGAAACGTCACCTCCCTCGTGTATCAACAAGGACAAAACGTCACCTCCCTCATGTATCATCAAAGACAAAATGTTACCTCCCTCATGTATCATCAAAGACAAAATGTCACCTCCCTCATGTATCAACAGACAAAATGTCACCTCCCTCATGTATCAACAAGGACAAAACGTCACCTCCCTCATGTATCAACAAAGACAAAACGTCACCTCCCTCATGTATCAACAAGGACAAAACGTCACCTCTCTCATGTATCATCAGACAAAACATCACCTCCCTCATGTATCAACGAAGACGAAACGTCACCTCCCTCGTGTATCAACAAGGACAAAACGTCACCTCCCTCGTGTATCAACAAGGACAAAACGTCACCTCCCTCATGTATCAACAAGGACAAAACGTCACCTCCCTCATGTATCATCAAAGACAAAATGTCACCTCTCTCATGTATCAACAGACAAAATGTCACCTCCCTCATGTATCAACAAGGATAAAACGTTACCTCCCTCATATATCAACAAAGACAAAACGTCACCTCCCTCGTGTATCAACAAAGACAAAATGTCACTTCCCTCATGTATCAACAGACAAAATTTCACCTCTCTCATGTATCAACAGACAAAATGTCACCTCCCTCATGCATCATCAAAGACAAAATGTCACCTCCCTCATGTATCAACAGACAAAATGTTACCTCCCTCATGTATCATCAAAGACAAAATGTCACCTCCCTCATGTATCAACAAAGACAAAACGTCACCTCCCTCGTGTATCAGCAAGGACAAAATGTCACTTCCCTCATGTATCAACAGACAAAATGTCACCTCTCTCATGTATCAACAGACAAAATGTCACCTCCCTCATCTCTCAACAAAGACTAAACGACACATCACTTCTGTATCAACAAAAAAAATGTAACCTCGCTCGTGTATCAAAAGACAAAACATTACTCGATTCGTGTATCACAAAGACAAAACGTCACCTTACTTGTGTATCACCAAAGACAAAACTTTACCTCACTCATCAATCAACAAAGAAAAAAACAAAACAATACCTCGCTCATGTACCAAAAGACAAAACGTTACTTGACTCGTGTATCAACCAAGACAAAATGTCACCTCACTCTTGTATCAAAAAAACTAAATCGTTACTCACTCATGTAACAAAGACAAAATGTTGTACATGTGTATGACAAAGACAAAACGTTATTTCACTCTTGCATGAACAAAGACACAAAACGTTACCTACCTCGCTCATGTACCAAAAAACAAAACGTTACTCGACTCGTGTATCAACAAAGATAAAATGTTACTTGACACGTGT